CATGAACTAACAAAGAGACCTATCATTATTCATTACTCACGTGATGGAAGCAATCGGAACTAGTCGAAGCATTAATTTATGTCAATAGAACCACCTTTTGAGGCTTTCCGATAACAAAAACAACTCAGGTAGCAACGCGCATCAAGGAATGCGATCATGCCTTTTTTCGCCAAATTTGAAGCAGCCTGATCGTTAACAATACGAATAGTTGTTGCTTTATAGTTTAACATACGCATTTATGTTGGCACTGTCTTGGTATTGTTTTTGCATGTACGGTGGAAAAAGGCCACATGAAATCTTAACCATCAAAATGCATAATTACAGAAAATTCAGCATGAAGGCAAATGAAAAATTAACTATTACCAGTCATTCATTGAAAATGCAAACAGAAGGACGAATACGATGTTGAGAGAGCAACAAGGCGAAATATGAGCGACGTTCTGGCAAAATTATTGCCGCTGTTAGTTCTCGAGTTAGCACTCAGCCAACAGAGAATTATGACGCAACCGTCACACAGAAAAGCGCAACAGAAAATGAAATTCTTAGGATGCGCATGGGCAGAGAAAATCATTGCAAAGGTTCTGTCTCTTATATTAATCGGTTCTCGAAATCGTTTCCCGCCAAAAAATTTACATGTTCTCTCTTATGCATGAGGTCCGAGCGTAGAAGAATGGCGATTCAGGCTGTAAGGATGGCAGAATAGGGCTCGTAAAATCCTAGTTTCCTGGCTTTTCCAATTCTGAAGTTGGAAGTGAGCGAAAAAGCTCATACATACATATATACACACCGACAACCACCTAACAATATGTGTTTTGCATTTGCATAAGAAACAAAAACGCATACATACCAATAACCAATAAGTCAAGGCAGCCGGTGTAATCATGCGTTTTGTAGAATTCCGACCACCGAGTGATTGCCTCTTAATGGTTTTCACTGCTTTGCATTTTGGTCTGTGCAAAATAGTTGAAATGTTGTCTGGTTCTTAAAATGCGGAATTCTCTACTGAAAATTTCACGCACACGAGAAAATGATTTCTTTACTAGAATTTTCACAAGGCCGTACGTAGTACCCACGAATGCGTGAAGGATGAATCTAAATCTGCGAGGTCGCAAACGTTAGTAGAGGAGATTACCCTAAAATTTCAGATTCCCAACTTGCACAGTCCCCGAGATAATAATTTTCCTCGCCGGAACTTTCACGGGGCCGTGATACTCGCACACGCGGGAAGGCTGATTTTAAAACTGCAGGATTGTATGTGGACAAAAGACATTACTGTAAAATTTCAGCTTCTTGGTTTCTGTGGTCCCCGAGATAATAATTTCCCCGCCAAAATTTCCACGGAACCATATGTGATACTCGAGAGCGTGGGAATGCTGAATTTGAATTTGAGAGGTCGTATGTAGGCAGGGAGCCATAATTCTAAAATTTCAGCTACCCACATTCCTTGTTTCTCGAGATAATAATTTATGCGCCAAAAGTTTCACGAGGCCGTATATGTTACTCGCGAGCGCGAAAAGGCTGAATTTAAATTTGAGAGAAGTCGTATGCGGGCAGGGAGCACATACATAAAATTTCAGCTTCCTAGATTTCGCGGTTCCTGAGATAATAATATGCCCGCAGGAAATTTCTCACAGGGCCGTAGGTGATTTCTGAGAACGCGAGAACGCTAGATTTGCAAGGTCGAGTGTGGGTAGGGGATCACTGCCTTTAAACTTCAGCTTCGTAGATTCCGTGATCCCCGAGATGACAACTTGCTCGCCAAAATTTTCACAGGGCAGCCCGTGCTACTTACGGGGAGGGGAAAGCTGATTTTAAATCTCCTGGGTAGCACGTGGGCAGGGGACATGCTCACAAAATTTCAGCCTTCTAACTTCTGTGGTTTTCGTGATAATTTTACCTGCCCAGACTTCTACGAGGCCGTACGTGTTACCCGTGGATAAAGCGAGGCAGAATTTAAACTTGCGGAGTCACACGTGGGTGAGGAACGTTGCCCTAAATTTTCAGCTTCCTAGCTTTTGTGGTTCCCAAGTTGAAAGTTGTGGGCAAGTTGCTGCGGACACACATATACATAAACACAAACACACACAGACAATCCCGTGGCAATATGCGTTTTGTACCGCTGTTACACAGCACAAAACGAATTAAAATAAGCATATTCAAAATTTTCTTCTGGTGTTAGAATTATTTTTATCGGAGGCCAAAAGAAGA